GGAATGCCAACTTTAATTTTAAATGCGTCTTCTTGGAATTTGAGCCACAATGATGGTGGTGTATTAACATTATAAATATGTAAAATTCATGAAATATAAAATATATCTACTGTGCAAAATAATCCCACTTCCAGTCCTCACCTCTTTTTAATTCCATTTACTATAAGTATTTAAGACCCAGACATTTACTTGCATCAGACATTTCTTCCATTATCTGATGGAAGACAAATTCTGAAAACATGACAATCTTAGCTATAGAATACACATTAGATAAATGATTAATGACAATTATTAAAATATTCTTTACATTACTCTTTCAAGGCCTCAGTTATCTTCCCTTGTAGAAAAAATATATCATGCAAGAGGTGTAAATTACACTCAAGAATACAATATCAGAGTTTAACTAGAACTGTGAGCTTACAACTCAAAAATTTGAAATTAAACAACTTCTATTTAATACAGAAAATGTTACACTGTATGCTGTTTGCATACTTCATTCACAGTTTATAGAATTAAATAAAAATCTTAGGGTCTGAAATATATGCATTTAAAAGAAACAGGTTCATTTTTCACAGCTATTTAACAAAGAAAGTTGAGCAGGCATTGTGCAGAAAACTGTCAGCAGCAAGTTTTCAGCTGAATAAATTTGAAGCTATACTATTTCACTCATGCTCTTCTATTTTTTAAATTACAGAAGGAAAAAAATTACTTGCATTTTTGGTATAGTGATCTGAAAACTCTCGTCCACTCCTTCTGGCTATTTTAAAAAACGAAAATCACAGTGAGTTGTGAATTTATATTTAATGACCTGGAACAAAATCTCTGAAGCTGAAGATGTAGATGTGGACTGAAAAGTGACTAAAAAGTACTACATATTTACTTATCTCTACTTTCAAAATAGCAATTGCTTAAGATGGTTTTTCTACCTGCCAATCCTGCAAATTCAGTCTAGGGGCTGTAAAAACCAAGCCAGCTCCTTTCTGGATCATGTATGACCCATGAAGAGTCTGCAAATAGAACTTAAAATGTGTTAGTATCGGACTGCATCAAAAAGGAATCAAATTCACTCCAGTAACTTGATTTTCAGCACTAACTGTAAGTAGAAGTAGTAAGAATATATATTAAGCTGACAACTTGGAATAAACACAGGAAACGGAGAGAGTCATTGGCATTTAGACACTTTCAGTTCGATAAGTACTCTTATGAAGAGATTCTGTTTTCAGAACAAGCTAACTCCACTTGCTATTCTTACAGGAAGATTAACTATAATCCATATAAGTATTATATTATTAAGGGAGTAGGCATACCTCTGGGTTGCTCTCTTCCCTACCCCGGGCCTCTTGATTAGTGTTTGCTCAGTATGGAAAATAATGGCAATATCTGCAGTAGAGAAAGGAATAATGTTTGTCTAAGTTTATATCTTTCCTGTCCTCTGGTCAAAGAAGTAGCTTTAATGCTACATACCAGCATATCAGAGGGAAAGGGAATACTAAGGGGAGATATACAACTCAAAGACTCTTGATGACAGGCAAAACTGCAGGTACTTAACACAAATAACAATCACTCAGATAATAACTGTGGAATATGTAGAGGAGAGAGAAAGAATGGGTTAGGAGGAAAGACAGAAAACACAGAACAGAAGACAGGAAGCTGAAAGAGCGCTCTTGTTTATAACAAGTGCATTTACTGTGTTAAACATAGGAAGACAAACTGGATACCCCTTCTGGCTCATTTATGAGCCAATTAAGATTCCACAACTAGAACCTATTTAAGAAGTGTACATCTATTCTTCTCGCCTGGTGCCATCTTCTCTCTTCCCTTCTGACGGGCCCTCATACAGTGCTAAAAATCACTCTGGCCCAGTAGACACGGGAAGAGCTACACCTAGACCCAATAACATTCCTTTCTTTCTTGCAGATATTGCTCCCGTACACTTTCCAGAAATGCCATTAAATTAAAGGACTTAAAAGCACATATCACTTCACCACAAGGGATAGGTGGAATGTGGAAGAGTGAGAATGGAGTGAAGTTTGCTTAAGGAAATTATATACCACATATAGTGATAACGTTTTCACAGGAAAGCATTCTTCCCCTCTTCTGCCAGCAATTATACTGAGAGTCATTTAACAACACAACCATTACGAGCAGTAGGTACCATTTGCATAGTTTGGCTTTAGACTCCCTATGCGTGTTCCACCCTCAGAGAAAGAAAGACTTTAGATTAAGTTCTTTCTCCTACTATTTCAACTTGCTTATGCCACTGACTCTTAGGGGAGGCTGATGTGACTCCTAAAACAAACCATGAGCATCAGGAAACCCTTATGAGCCCACGTAACACAAACATGGGATGTTATGAGAGTTATCAGAGCCACTACATTTTTCACACCCTAGGACTTATATTTTAATTTTTTTTCACTGCAATCTGAGACTAAAAAGTAACCAAAGTGAAAAAGAAAATGCCCTTCATCTCCAAAGTGTCTGCAGTGCAATATTTTGTAAACATCACCATGCAGAGGAAAAAGTTTGATTTTATGCTTCTTTTAATGTGTCATGACAATGCAGGTTGCTAACTTGCTTCATTTCTCATCAGTGAGGGTTTTTAACTCTTAAAAGTATTTTAGTATTGTTTCAGTTTTTAAATGATGCTCCATTTTAAATGATAAACCTGGAAGTTCTGACCAGTTTGACAATTTTTAACCCTACATTTTACTCTCAATCACAAGCTCATTTAATCTGAAATGTTTACAACAAAAAAGTATAGTTTACTGAAGTCAGAAAATAATATAGCACGTTCTTTAAAAACTTTCTAGTCTAATTCTTAGGTTAACATATGCTGTTGCAGGTAGTTTGAAAAAAAAAAAAAAAACTGCCACTGGTATTTACGTATGCTTCTTCTTGTACATTAGCATTTCTTTCTTAGTGCAATCATGGAATGTAAGTATTGAAGATTCAGCCTTTCTGTTGCCTCATCGAAGTCCTGACCAACTGTGAAGGTATGAAGCCCACCCAGAAGGCCGTGAAGCACTTTCTTCTTCACCTGCAGGAAAGGGGGAAAAGAAATAGAAAAAGATAAACTTAAATTTTCACCAGCACTGAAGCTATTAACAGTGAATCGACTGATGATGCATTGCATGAAAACCAAAACATTACTTCTAAGCAGTAACATGTCAGGCTGCTGATGGGCAGTAACATGTCAGGTTGCTGAAAAGTTTTCTATATGCACTTTAAGAAACAGCTACCATGTTCAAAGAAATACCACTGTATCACATTCTTTATTTAGGGTACTTAAGAAACCTGCAACTGACAGAGAAATAAAACTGGCCTCTTCTTTCTAACTTCTACAGACTTCAAAAGAGGTCTTTAGACAGTAATGAGCTCTGTTTAATAAGAAGTGCAAGAGCAGCTGTTTTCAAATACAGAATTTTGATTTGCCATTCAAAATATAAATCCTCTCACATATACCTTTTCATGATATCACTTCCTTTCTCTTCCCGTTCATTAGTAACTGGCCTTTTCTAAGACTGCACAGTACAACCAACATTTAGAGAAAATTGTTAATAACAAAGACCATGACAATCTCTAAATAAAGATGTTTTGAACAAGATAGTATGTAAAGTGTCTTGCAAACTGGAAAGAATGCATCCAATCAGAGGCCTAAGCATTTATTATAAAGGAGCAGACTGCTTAATACATTCTTTTAAAATGCCTTGGTAGCATTTAAGTGAAGTGTGTAAGTGTTGTAGCCATGACAGTTCAGGAAATATACAAAAGGCTTGGATTTTTGTGGGTGATTCTCATTTACTGGACCAAGTGAATGGCTGGGAAAGACTTAGACAAGCTTTTTGGGTACCACAGCACTGCAGTACCATGCAGCTGTATCTCAAGATGGCATAACAGACACTATATGCCCATATTTTATCCAGGCTTTTAGAGAAAATTTAGTCCAAAATGTATTTAATTAATCTCAATCATGCAGTTGGTCCAATAAGAGACATTACACATAAAAATCCTTACCTCTTAAAATGCTTTAAATTTTTTCCTAGACAATCCTTGTATTTGTGGAAGGTAGTGTAAGAGTAATGTTGTAGCCATGATGGTCCAGAAATTATGCAAGAGCCAAGGATTCCTTAGGGCAGGAGTTTTCAAACTTTTTTTTAACAAGTATACCCCTTCTGCCCCAAAGTTTCAGCTCATGTACCTCTTTATATTTTTTTCTTGCTTTTAAGGGGCAGGGTGGAGGGGGAAGATTGAGGTCCCCATGGTGAGGGAGGGAGTGGGGCTGGGGCAAGTGCTGCAAAGCTGGGGTGAAATGCAGGGCGGAGCCACAAGAGTGATTCGTCCAGGAGGTGCAGGGAGGGGGGGCGGCTCCTGCTGCTGTGCACACCCTGGTGGAGGCCCGTGGGGCATGTGCCCCCCAGATCTGCACGTGGGGCAGAGGCAGCTGCTGCTGCAGGCTGGAGTCTGCACCCTGCTGCTGCAGCCCCAAGAGTCACACAACGCCATGTGCCTGCTGCTGCTGGGTGGGCAGGGGGCAGGCTGA